CTGTACTCGGTCGTCGTGGGCGAACGAAGCTTCTGTTAGCCGGTGCCAAACAGCCAGGACAACGACGACGACGACCACCGCGACCAAGATGTCCACGACACACCGCGATCCCCAGAGACATTCGAGTGTCCCCGCAGGCTTCCGAGAGCCTCCGACGTCAAACGCAGTCGACCGCCTTTTCGAACATATTCGTATCGAGCATCGTCGATGACGACGATTGCGGCGGCGGCGACCCTCTGAGGTGGTCTGCCCGGCGGCCGCGAGCGGTGCCATGGTGGCGGGCGCCAGCAAGGCTCGCCGCGACGGGCAACTACGCGTGTCACGGCGGCAGAGTCTAACACCCACTCACTACCAATTGATGCGATTAACTAAGTTTCATCAGAGTGGGGGGCCGATCGGTCATTCACAGTCCCTGGGCGCGTGGCTGAAGTGATGTTCCGCAGTGCGGATTGTTTTTGTTGCTGTTGCATTCTCATTACCCAATAACAATTATTGCTGATCCCCCCCTCCAGCAGATGTGTTTTTCAATTTAAGTGCTCCTCCCGGGGGCTCTCGCCCTGTCTTTTATCAGTGTAAGTTTTCCTCCTCACACTGTGCCCCTAGCCCCCGACTTACAACAACAACAACGGCTCCCACCTGATACTTCCTCACAATGTATTCCCGAACCCGCCTGATATTTCTTCACAAGTTATTAAGGAATTGCGCTCTAGCGCAGGACGTCTCCACAGTTCATGCAGAAATATTGCTCTCTCGCGTGGGACCTCCTTGCAATTTATTTAGACGCCGCGTCCTCCACATTCAGGAATCACGCTCTCGCTTTAGCCTATCTCACGATTTAGTTGGGAGGAATCGCGCTATCGCTCGAGACTCGCGATTCATGCGGGACGCACGCTTCAACAACCCGCCTGCTCGACCTGGCCGCCTAGGCCCGCCTTGGGGGCCCGCCTGTTATAGGTTCTACCAGCCCGATCTGCCCGTCTGGTTTTGCCACGTTATTTATGCTCCTAGCCCGACTCCTGCTACTCTCTCTCTCTCTCTCTTTCGTGCTCCATCCTGTTCCATCCCCCTTGTCCTCTTCCTCCATCCATCCTCTCTTTCCATGCCGTAGGGGCTGCATGGAATACCCATTGCAGTAAGCCAAATATACCCCCAAGGGGGTACGATCGAAGTCGAAGAGGGCGGGTTTCGAGGGTTTGGGATACATGTGTTCAATGGCACGCGTGCAGATACGAGCGAACAATCTTAAAATACTTGTTGTTGTGGTTGTTGCAGTTGTTGTTGAACTCTCATTGAAGAATACTTATTCCTGACCCCCCCCTTCCAGGGCACATTGAATTTGTTCAATTGAAGTGCCCTTCCCGCGTTTCGCACCTTGCAAGGGACAGCGAGGGGTCACCAAACGGGGCCCTGGCCCCCGAGTTACAACAACAACGGCTCCCACCTGATACTTCCGCACGATCAATTCCCAAATCGCGCTCTCGCGCAGGACGTCTCCACAATTCATGCAGAAATCGATCTCTCGCGTGGGACTTCCATGCAATGTAGTCAGACGCCGCGCCCTCGACATTCAGGAGTCATGCTCTCGCTTTAGCCTATCTCACGATTTACTTCGGAATCGCGCTATCGCTCGAGACTCGCGATTCATGCGGGACGCACGCTTCAACAACCCGCCTGCTCGACCTGGCCGCCTAGGCCCGCCTTCCCGGCCCGCCTGTTATTGCCACGTTATTTCTGCAACTAGCCCGACTCCTGCTACTCTCTCTCTCTCTCTCTCGTGTTCCATCTGTTTCCCTCCCCCCTGTCCCTTTCGTCCATCCGTCCTCCCTTTCCCTGCCGTAGGGGCTGCAAGGAATACCCGTAGCAGGTAAGAACAATATATACCCCCAAGGAGGTACGATCGAAGACGGAGAGGACGGGTATCGAGAGTCTGGGATACGTGTTGACTGGGACGCGTGCAGATACGAGCGAGCAGTCTTATACTGATTGTTGTTGTTGATGTTGTTGTTGTTGTTGTTGTTGTTGTTGTTGTTGTTGTTGTTGTGGTTGTTGTTGTTGTTGTTGGTGTTGTTGTCGTTGTTGTTGTTGTTGTTGTTGTTGTTGTTGTTGTTGTTGCTGTTGTTGTTGTTGTTGTTGTTTTTGCGGTTTTGTTGATGATGATGTTGTTTGTGTTTAGTTCTAAATTCTAAAGGTTAATTACTATCGGTCCCCCTCTCTCCAGTAACCATTTTATGTGTGTAATTACAGTGCTTCTCCCGGGGCTCGCAGCCTGTTCTTTACACGGGGAGGTGAGGTGTCACCAAACTGTGCCCCTGGCACCCGGTTTACAACGACAACGGCTCCCGCTTGATATTTCCTCACGCTTGATTCCCAAATCGCGCTCTCTCGCGGGACTGCGTTGCAACGTATACCAGAATCGTGCTCTCGCGTGGGACCTCCTCGCAATTTATTCAGACGCCGCGCCCTCGACACTCAGGAATCACGCTCTCGCTGTGGATTACCACACGATTTGTTTGGAAGTCGCGCTGTCGCTCGAGACTTTTCCGCGATTAATGCAGGACGCCCGCTTCGACAACCCGCCTGCCCCTTGTCCCTTCCGTGCATCCGTCCTCTCTTCCCCTGCTTTAGGGGCTGCACGAAATACACGTTGCAGGTAAGAAGGATACACTCCTGAGGGGGTACGATCGAAGACGTAGAGGGCGGGTATTGAGGGTTTGGGATATACGTGTTGAGTGGCACTCGAGCAGGTATGAGCGCACAGTCTTGAAATCATTGTTGTCGCGTTTGCGTTGTTTGTAGTGTGTTGTTTGTTGTCGTCGTCCCACCTGCGGCCTGGCCTGCGACCCACTCACGACCCCCCCACATCACTTGAACGAAAAGTCGGCGCCTGCGGCGAGCTCGTTGTATAAAGTGTAAAGATAAAACGCCTGCATCGGGCTTCCAGGGCCTCGTGAACTGCCCACGTCCCCGCCGCCCCCTCACTCTTATCCGCAACTTCGGGGTGCTACATTATTTCCAAAAGTTGTTGTATGGCTTCTGTCAGGAGGGGAAAAACACGCAGACACAATTCATCGCCGATTCCCGGAACATATGAGAAAATATGGGAAGTGGGGGGGAAGACAAAAGCCCAGAAAATATATGAAAATATGGCGAATCCTTTTATTTGTGTGTATTTATTTGCGTGTCCCAGGGCCCGTGGCAGCGCCGGGCAGACGCACGACGAGTGGGGTGCGTTACTCAGGAGGGCAAGAAACACACAGACACAATTAATCGTCGATTCCCCGGAAAATATGAGAAAATATGGGAAGTGCGGGGGAAGACGAAAACCCAGAAAATATGGGAAAATATGGGGAATATGTTTATTTGTGTGTATTTATTTGTGTGTCCTGGGTGGGGCCCCTTCAGTTACGGCTCACGGGACGCCCGCTTTTGGAACGTTCTCGTGCTTCCTGCGGCCTCCTGGGGGCCTCCGGAGGCCTCTGTCGGGCGAAGAGAACTATACACATGCACCGATCCTGGCAAGGCCCGTCTCTGACCCAGGATCGGTGCATATGCCTTCCTGGCCAAGGCGGCGGGCGTATGCACCGATCCTGGGCTCAGGATGGGCCTGGCCAGAATCGGTGTATGTGCATAGATCTCTTTCCTCTACTGTGGGGGCGTCGGGAGCGGGGCGGGCGGGAGCGAGATTTCTGGTGGGAGCGATGTCAGGCTCAGGGTTTTCAGGCCTGCTTTATTTAGGCGAATTGGAATTCGGTGGTGGTGGTGTGAAGAAACATACGCGTGTGCGTGCGTGCGTGCGTGCGTGCGTGCGCGTGCGTGTGCGTGTGCGTGCGTGTGCGTGCGTGTGTGTGTGTGTGTGTGTGGGTGTGCGTGTGTGCGTGTGTGTGTGTGTGTGTGTGTGTGTGTGTGTGTGTGTGTGTGTGTGTGTGTGTGTGTGTGTGTGTGTGTGTGCGTGTCGTGTGTGTGTGTGTGTGCGGGGTGGGGTGGGTGGGGTGTGGGGGTGGGGGTGGTGAGTGGGGGGGGGGTATGTATGTGTGTGTGTGTGTGTCTGTGTATGGGGGTGGGGGGGGGCTTTTCACTGCGAGGGGCGACGATGGGCTAAGAGCCGGGAGATATTCTCTCTCTCTCTCTCTCTCTCGGCTCGCCGAGGGCATGGCGCCCAGACAGCCGTGATGCTCGGCCGAAGCAGCTGGACAGCCACCCCGTGCAGCCAGCAGCAGCTCGGGGTGCCTCGCCCGCCTACGTGAACATAGCGAGCTACTATTGCTCCCGGCGCTGATCCTGCTTTTGCTGATCGACGTCGTCGTCGTCCTCTCCTCCTCCTCATCCTCCTCCTCCTCCTCCTCCTACAACTCCTCTTCGTGGGGCGGAGTGCAAGTGCCACCTTTCGCCCCCCCGAGAAAGCGGGTCGTCTCGATGGGAACGCGAACCTTACGGTTATTTCGGAGGTGTTACCTCGGTTCATTCGGCTCCCGACCACCTCCAGTTTCTCAATCGTCCAGTCTTTCTGCTCGGCGCATCCCTTCTCCTCGCGTGCTCGCTCGCTTGCTCTCCTCCTCCTGCTCCTCCTCTTGCATCCTCCCCCTGCAGTCAAGACGCTGAAACCAGGACCAATCTGGGTTCAAGAGGGATCTGATCTTCGGGCAGCTCCTTCGATCTAGCTCGGGGAACCTATTCGTGGCCGAGGCTCATCGTGGCCAGACAAGCCCCTCCGTTCCTGACTGGGCTCTCATCAATGGTAGCACCACGGCTGTCGCCTCACATCGCCTGCGAGCTCACCCGGCGCCCGCGGAGGCATGCTTTCGGGAAGCCCGAGCTGCACCACACCCCTTCTCTTTTTCTCTTGGGCAAGCTGCTGGGTCTCTGGGACCGGGAGCGACAGCCCCCCTCCTCTTCCATCTCCTCCGCCTTCACATCCGTGCGTGCTCAGGTCCGCGCGCCCGGCGGGCGGGTCGGACTGACCCCCATCGCGGCGGGGCAGAGCCGGGGCGCCAGAGGGAGCCATGGCGCCCCCCTGGCCGCTCAGGCCAGCCAGGCTCGTGGGCGGGAGGCGGACGGGGCGCTCCAGAGCAGAGAGGGACTCGCCTTCGAGCGTTCGATTGGGTTGCCATCCCTGCCTTGGCGAAGGACCAGCGGAAGCCAGGAAGTGGAAGCACAAGCAGCCACCCCAAGAGATGACAACATTCTTGGGTTTGGTACGGGGTGCCCTGCAATGGGGCCATACCCATACCCACAGTTTCGCGAACTGGACTCATCAGGAGGAAAAAACACACAGACACAATTAATTCTCGATTCCCCAGAAAATATGGGAAAATATGGGAGTTGGGTGGGAAGACGGAAACCCAGAAAATATGGGAAAATATGGGGAATCCTTTTATTTGTGTGCATTTATTTGTGTGTCTCAGGGCCCCTTCAAGTTCGGTGGGGTGCGTTACTCAGGAGGGCAAGAAACACACAGACACAATTAATCGTCGATTCCCCGGAGAATATGAGAAAATATGGGAAGTGGGGGGGAAGACGGAAACCCAGAAAATTTGGGAAAATATGGGGAATCCTTTTATTTGTGTGCATTTATTTGTGTGTCTCAGGGCCCCTTCAAGTTCCGCGAACTGGACTCATCTGCCTCGACAGGGGCGGCACTGCGCGGATGCCCCCATGGGGTCGACCCTCGGCTTCCAGGCCGCGAGGGCTCGGCTTTGGATCTGCTTGTGTTCGTCTCTCGCGACCTCGTGCTGGCTTTCGCCGCCGCCCTCCTCCTCCTCCTCCTCCTCCTCCCCCTCCTCCTCTTTCTCAAGCACCTCCTTCTTATTCTCCTCCTTCTTCTCCTCCTCCGCTTCCTCCGTGGCCCAAGACGCGCCCCCTTGTCATCGCACACTTTTGTCAAAGAGGGCAGGACTGGTACGGGCGTGGCTGCGGCAAGGACCAAACGGCGTAGGCGCAGTGCGCCCTATCAAAGTCAGATGCGACGGGGTACGGTCCCGCTCCCGCGGAGAGGCGCCGAGCTCGAGGCCACCAGCCAGCAGTGCAGCCCCGTAGAGATCAAAGTCTGAAACGAATGGCACCAAATTCAGATCGAGGTGATCAGGTGAGTCGTACAGGTTTCGGTGGCACGTTTTTCCACCAGCCACTCAGATGATGATGATGATGATGATGATGATGATGCTGATGATGATGATGATGATGATGATGATGGTGATGATGCTGATGCTGATGCTGATGCTGATGATGATGATGATGTACTGATGATGAAGATGATGATGATGCTGCTGATGATGATGATGATGATGATGAAGATGAAGATGAACATGATGATGATGCTGCTGCTGATGATGATGATGATGATGAAGATGATGAATGATGATGATGATGATGATGATGATGATGATGATGATGATGATGATGATGATGATGATGATGATGATGATGATGATGATGATGATGATGATGATGATGATGATGATGATGATAGAGATGATGAGGAGGAGAAGGAGGAGGCTTCAGGGTTGCACGTGCCAAGAGCATCCAAACTTTCAGTGACATCTGCTGTGCCCATTGCTCCGCCCGAAACTTGAAGAGCGATCGTGGACGCGTGGGGGGCTTCGCGAACAAGCTCCATCGGGCATGACAGGGGCCTAAAACCTGCTGGTGCTCAAGAGCTAGAGCCATGTCGAATTTAATGCTCTAGCGAACCGAGCAAGTATACCCAACGATGATAGTACATCAAGCTAACATACCGATCATAATGTCAGAATCTTCTGATCCTCTGGCACATAACTCTTGGCGAAGAGGCCCCTCGGGCATGAGAGGGCCTCAAACCTGCGGGCAGGCAAGAGTTAGAGCGGACGCACGGTGCATCGGGCACCCGGATTTCCGACGACGTCTCGTCGTTTGTCCGCCCGCAGTCTCTCCGCGGGTTCGGCCTCAAGGGGTCCCATCTCAGGGCCCGCTGGGCCATCAGGAACGAGTCCCAGACGCCATGTTGCACCCCCAGGGAATAGGGATCGATTTTTCTGGGGCCCGCGGATTGAACAACATCACTCCGTCGGACGTCAGGGTGCCCCGCGGGGGGGGGCTCGGATATGACAGCGCCTCGCGGTTCCGGCCGGAGAGTGGTCTTTCTCTGGGTGGCGGCGCGAGGGCACGAAGGCTAGAGCGCTTCTCTCGGAGGCTCAAAGATGGACTCCTGAGAGGTGGGGTCCTAAGGCCTCAAGAGACGTGTATCCAACCTTAGACCCCTTCCTATCCCTAGGACCCAATCCCTCAGAACCCCATCTTTGAACCACCGATTCTCTGCTCAGCGCAGCCTCGAGCACGAACTCGGGAGACCCAGAACAATCCAGGACCGATTCTTCTGAGTTTGAGTTCCTGGGGTGCCGTTCCGGGCTCGGGCCAGCAGAGGGACGATCCGCGGCGCGAGGTCCATGCGAACCATGGCGTCGAGATCTCTGGAACACGACGCACTGAACGAAAGCATGACGTCGGAGACCCCTGGCGGTTTTCGCCGGTTTGGAGTGCCTCACCCGCCCGTTGCGTTCTCTCAGTATCGTCACCCGTGTTCTTGCGTTCCTCTCCCTCTCCTGCTGCTGCTGCTGCTCCTCTTCCCCCTGGTCTTCCAGGTGGGCACTGGCGATGATGGCCAGCTTGGCGTGCCCAACCCGGTGCGCCTCCTCTGCAGTCCGCGAGCCGATGCCCACGGTGGCGCAGTGCCCCCACTGCGGATTCGCGGAGTGGACGTGCACTTCGCAGTGTAGCCCGCTGTTGGGCATCGAGTTCAATTTCTCCCACGAGGCCGGCGCGTGCTCCTTCTCCGCCTCCCGCTCCACATCCACCTCATCTCCTCTCTCCTGCGTCACGAGGCCGACGGATGCTTCGAGGCGATCCCCGGCAATGACAGAACATTGTTCTGGGACACCGACGCCTACTGTATCTTCCCAGAGGCCGATGAGGTCCTGGGCCTCACCTGCGACGAGATGCACAAGTACACCATGGACAGCCCCTACGTCCTGCACCTTGACCGCTGCTCGCTGAGCAGCACCTCGACCATGACGGTTTTGGAGGAATGCCATTGGACTTGCAAGTTCGGGCGGCCTTTCTACCGTTGCATTTGGACATTTGACCCCGAGGGCGAGTTCGACCACAACGGTGTCTCGACTCTGGAGAAATGCTGGTTGGTCGAGTCTTGCACTTCCTCCTTCAAGCAGAAGGTGGAGGCCGTCTGCAGGCCCATGGATCTGTGGACCCAGGCGGGCCTGAGCGAGCTGGAGAATCAGCACTTGCAGGAGCAGCTGATGCTCCTGGGCAACTCCCACTCTGACGCGGCCGAGGAGCTCGTGGCGGCACTGACTTCCGCGGGCCTGTCAGAGGAGGATGCCGCCGCGGCCTGGGACAAGTACAACGAGGTTGTGGAGGAGCTGAAGAGCCACGCCGAGGCGCTGAGCGAGGCGGGGCTGAATGCGGACGATGGCTCGACGGCGGGCACTGTGGTCACGACTGTGCTTCTCAACGGGGTGTCGTACATGCTCCTGGTCGGAGACGCAGAGCACACCAAGTCCTCGGAGGATACCGTCAAGGCAGTGATCATCGAGGCAGCCGGGGGCGACTACACCATAGACGACGTGATGGTGGAGTTCAGGCGGAGCTCCAGGCGTGATGGCAGCATGGTGATCGAGGCCACGCTTGAGACCCACGGTGCCTTCACAGCGACGCTGGTGCAGTTCAACCTGAAGCGTGCCGAGACGCTCGGTGCGGACATCCTGGCGGCGCTGCAGGCACTCCCGTTCTTCGTGGCCGACGGCCCCGTCTCCGTGGGCTCCGTGAAGGCGGATTCGGATGCAACTCCCGGGAGGTCAGACTCGGCATTGTTGCTGGTATATCCGTGGTCGAATGCCGGCCTAATGAGACCGAGTTCCGCTTAATCCAGCTTAAGCCAGCCTTAACGGCCTTACTCTTGGGTCTACTTCGCGCTAATCGAGCTCAATGGTCCCTTAATCGGGCTTGAGTGCTGTTAATCGTTCTGGAGAAGACGTCCCAGAAATTGCCTCTTCAGGTGGAGGTTCTGAGCCAGGGAGAGGACGACGAGTACGTGGACTTGGCCGCGCAGGTCGCGGCGTACAAGGAGCTGGCGGCGAGGCAGCAGCGGGACATAGAGGACAGCCAGGAAAAGACGGCCCAGCTGGCGGTCATCATCATCGTAATGGGCGCGGTCATCCTGTGCCTCGGCGCGGTGTCGGCGGCGCTGTGCGTCGCGCGAAAGAGGAGCGGTCGTCGTCGTCGTCGTCGTCATCGTCGTCGTCGCCGTCGTTGTTGTCGTCGTCGTTGTCTTCGTGGTGGTATGGTCTTCTCGTGTTCTTTGCGTTCGCTGTCTCCTTGGTCGTGGTCTTCTCGTCGTCGCCGTCGTCGTCGTCGTCGTCGGCCGTCGTAGTCGCTGTCGTCTCCTTGGTGGTGGCCGTTGCCGTCGTCGTCGTCGTCGTCGTCGTCGTCCCTCGTCGTCGCCGTCTTCGCCTTGGTGGTGGCCGTGGTCGTCGTGCCGTTGTTCGCCGCCACGCGCAGCGAGGAGCGAGAAGGTGTTGCCCCCGACCGAGTCCAATCGCGTCGTGATCGGGCGGCCCGTCGGGCAGGGGGAGCCTGCTGCGCTGGGCTCGGTGGCGGTGCACGCCCCGGCCGGCGAGAAGGTCAAACAGGGCCCTCTGTTCGTCGTCGCCGACTGCAAGAGATACCGATGCCGCTGCAGTAGGTTCGCGTCGCGTCGACCAGCCCCGACCCCCCCGCTGGCGTTCAACATTGAACGCCGACAGCGACCCAGAATCGGATGATGTTGAACGATCTGACGTCTCGGAAACGGCCGATTGTTCCAGGTTAAACGATCCCCGCGTTGTCAGGAACCAATGCGGGGTCGACACGACACGAGCCTGCTGTACTCATTCTTCGTCGCGATTCGCCTCAATCTTCGTTTGAACGCTCGCCAGGAGCGGTCCGGGGAGTAGCCGTATCTGTACCTTTTCGATTCCCCGGTCGCCGCCGACGACAACATCGTCGTTTCGGAACTTTCTGCCCCCTCCTGGGGGTTCTCGTCTCCGCGACTGGACGCAGCTCGAAAAGCTGGGCTGGGTGGACCCCGAGCGGGGTCTGGGGACCGATTCTGAGCGGCGGATTTGCTCTTGTGAGTGTCGTGGACCTCTGGAGGCTTCCAGAGGCCTCCGGCAGACGCCCTGGGACCTGGAGCTGAAGAGGGCGACGAGGCGCAGCCTCCGAGATCCACCTTGGGTCACTGCCGGGGGTCAGTATAGTCTAACCTGTCCCCATCACCTCTGGGTCTCAGCCCCACCATCCCACCACTCCAGTTGGGGATGGGCCCCTCGAAACCCGGGAACAGCCTCTACACACCCATGAAGGGGGTAAATCGGCCAATTGGGCCTAGGCCACGCCAGTAGGGATGACTCTTCTCCTGGACTCAATGCTGGTGTACAGTTCGCAGCGTGCTGCTAGCACGGCCTTCTGTGGGGCCTCTGAGGCACATTCCTACCGAGGTGGAGAAGCTCCGCTGCAACCCCGCCCATCCCGCCTGCGCTAACTTGTGTACGCAGCTGTCTTGCCAGAAAGTGGACGCATAACGATCTTCACATGATGCTCGAAGACCTGGGGGCGGATACTGACAGTGAGGCTGTCACACGATTCTCGTGATGATGATGATGATGATGATGATGATGATGATGATGATGATGATGATGATGATGATGATGATGATGCTGATGCTGATGCTGATGCTGATGCTGATGCTGATGCTGAGGCTGATGAAAAATGATGATGATGATGATGATGATGATGATGATGGTGATGATGATGATGATGATGATGCTGGTGATGATGATGATGATGATGATGATGATGGTGATGCTGATGCTGATGCTGATGCTAATGATGCTGATGATTATGCTGATCCTGATACTGATGATGCTGTTTATGATGATGATGATGCTGCTGATGATGATGATGATGATGCTGCTGATGTTGCTGATGTTGATGCTGATGCTGATGCTGATGAGGAGGATGAGGATGAGGATGAGGATGAGGATGAGGATGAGGATGAGGATGAGGATGAGGATGAGGATGATGATGATGATGATGATGATGATGATGATGATGATGATGATGATGATGATGATAATGGTGATGCTGATGATGATGATGATGATGATGATGATGATGATGATGATGATGATGATGATGATGATGATGATGATGATGATGATGATGCCACACGATGCACACGGGGGTGGGGGGGCGTCGAGGGTGAGCCGCGCGTCGCGCTCCGCGGCGCGGGCCTCAGGGGAGCGCTTCTCCAGGGCGGTGTCGCGGGAGCGCGAAGGGGACGGCGCTTCGCGGGGTGCGGAGCGGCGCGACGTCGGGCGGTTTGGTGCTGATCGGGCCGGGCGAAAGGGGGGAATTGGGAAAGGGGGGGTTACGAAATTTGATGCATGCAGCTGGTTTCGGCCTCACCGAGGGGCCCATTCCTCGATACATGGCCGCCTCCGGCGCCGGGAGGCGCCGGGAAAATCAGCTACGTGAGCTGATTCTCAACCCCACCCTTTGCTATCCCCCCCTTTCGCCCGACCCGAGCTGAGTGGTTCTTGGGAGCGGCAGGGCTGCTTTCGTAGCCGTCTCCGGAAGTCTCGGACCTCGAGGGAGAGGACAAGGCAAAGCAACGGTCCTCCGGCGACGGAGAGGATCGGCTCCAGGATGGAAACCTGGAGCTGGAACCGTCGGGCGAAGAGAACTATGCACATGCACCGATCCTGGCAAGGCCCATCCTTGACCCAGGATCGGTGCATGTGCCTTCCTGGCCAAGGTAGGAGGGCGTATGCACCGATCCTGGGCTCAGGATGGGCCTGGCCAGAATCGGTGTATGTGCATAGTTCTTTTTCCTCTAAACCAGACACGGCGACGGAGCCGGAAAACATCGGCGCCACAACCGGGAGACGACAAAGCGAGCGCGGGGGCAAGAATCCGCTCTGGCGTCTCCAGGAACCACGGGTGCCCAGTGCACTGACGGAGGCGCGAGAGTGGCGGCCTTCTGGGAATGCGAGGGGCTTCTTAGAAGGCATGCGGCAGGGTTCGTTATTATTATTAGTACTATTATCGTTATTAAGTTTATGATTATCATTTTTCTTATTATGTTTATTATGATTGTTTTTGTTATTGCTGTTGTTAGTATTGGTATTTTAATTATAATGATAAGTATACGTATGAGTATTCTTAGCATTGTTAATACTCGTATCAATTAGCAGTCGTAGAAGTATCATCATTATTCTTCCTAGTCTTCTTCTTCGAAGGGCCCAGGTGAGTCTGCGAAGGCTGCCTGCAGGCTTGGGGGGCGTGTGCGAAGCCTCCTGCCTCCTTAGACGCCCCACCCCCGCCTCCTCAGAAAGGCCGCCCCTCTCGCCGCCCACCTGTGCGCGCCGGCAGCACTCCGGGGAGAGAGTCGCTTCATCTTTTGCGACGGTCTTCCTCCTCCTCCTCCTCCTCCTCCTCCTCTCCTTATCATCCTCCTCCTCCTCCTCCTCCTCCTCCTCCTACTCCTCCTTCTCCTCCTCCTCCTCCTCCTCCTCCTCCTCCCCCTCCTCTTCCTCCTCCTCCTCCTCTCCTCCTCTCTGGGAGAGAGAGAGAGAGAGAGAGAGAGAGAGAGAGGTCGTCTTCGCCATCCCCCGAAGACACAGAACACAAAGAGAAAAGCCTCGCAGAGGGCCGACGGCCCGGGGGGCCAAAAGCTCCCCAGGAGAATTCTCCAGAGGCCCACAGCAAGGCGCCGTCCTGTTTCACGGCTCGGTCGGGTGAAGAGACTGAGGAGGCCTCTCTCCCCCTGCTCACTGTTTGGTGATGGGGGGGGGCGGGGGGAGTGCGCACGTTTGGTCCTCCTCCTCCTCGTCGCCCTCCGCCTCCAGCCGTTCTGGCCCAAAGATTTTGGGCTTGCGGGAGCAGCCTTCAGAGCGGCACTCGCTCTCGAAGGCATTTGGCTCGGCATCATTCAGTTTGAGGGATCTCAGCCCTCGTGTGAGCTCCTGCTGGAGCGCTCCATGGCCAATGGCGGAGGCGGTGCTGGAGAAGTTTCGGCGGGCCCCCGCACACCCACCTGGGCGTGCAGCCTACGTGGGAGGAATACGAACTGGGTTTCCGGGATCCCGTGCAAGGGCGGCGAGAAGGCACCACCCGATGTTGTTCGTCGTGCTCGTGAGCGCTCTGCCACTGCTGTGCGTGAGCGCCCGTCATCGCGACAAGCGTGTGCTCGGTGGACGCGATCCTTTACACCAAAAGCTCGACGCGTTGCAAAAAAAGTTCGGCGCAAGGCAATCGCAATGGCTCTCCAGCGCCTGCGTTTACCTGCGTTTACCACGGCAACTGGCTCCTTCGGGCCCGAAGGAGCTGTCGGCGTCCGTCAAGCTCAAAGAGCAGATCGAGCAGTTTGAGGCCCCGCTGGCCTTGTGCAGCATTACCAGGCGACGTTGGACCAGAGGCGTGTGAGTCTTTGGAAAAGCAGCTGGTCGAAGCTAAGAGACTGCTGGCCGCGACCAACCCTGAGTTCACCCAACACACGAGCATCGGACATCGGTTCACTCGGGCCACGGCCAAGAGGGCCAGATTCGAGCAGAACGTGTCCGAGCAGCTGGAGATTGTGCGTGCAGCGGAGGAAGAGATCGACCTCTTGCGAGCACATATCAAAGCGAATGATGAAGATACTTTCATACTTAATCGTGAGCTGGTCTCCACTTTACCTCTGGCGCCTGCGGTGTCTCTGGATGAGGATCCCAACGTCCTTGATAGACACCCTCAGAAGGAGACGCTCAAGGGTTTCATGGAGCCCGGTGTGTACAAGTCTTTATCATTGGTCCCCGGCGACAGCATCAGGGTTAAGGAAGCGCCCAAGCTTCCTGCCTCTCCTTTCGCGCCCTACTGCAGTGGCAGTGGTGGTTCTTCTGGCGCTGGCGCTTGCGATGGGGACCGCGGTGCAGGTGAGCGTCTCAGTGGCGGGTCCATCAGCGTCCCGGACGATATGCAGATCGATGAAATGGACGACATTACCATCGATTCCATCCTTGCGGCAATCAAGGAGGAGGCTTTCAACAGGGCTACCTTCACTGAGCGGTTTGACGCTTGCGGCGCGTCAGACAGTGTGCTTCGCCAGCGTCTGCTTCTCTGTCGTGGCCACAGGCTGTCTAAATTCGGAGTTCCTCCTCCACCTCCGCCCCCCCCTCTTCGTCGCCGCTGTCCTTCGATCAGGTTGGCCAGGACAGCTGCTAAACATGCAGTGGCGCCAGCTGGCCGACTCTCCGCGCCCGTCTGCGAGTGTCATCAGCGAGTATCTTGCTGGCGCAGGAGATCGGCTTCACTCAGGACCGCAGAAGGGAAGAGGGCTAGCTCGGCGGGGGCTCTCGGATGGAAAATGTCCCCCCCCATCCCTCGCTGGCGAGGCTGGCCGAGCCAGTGCGGGGGTGGCGGTCTTCGTGCCCTCGCGCCTTGGCCATCGTTGGACCGCGGATTCGTCGGGTATCCTGTGACCTGGGCGCCTGATCCATGGTGTTATTGACATCCCTGGGTGGCTTCCCCTCCAGGTGTTGCATGGGTGCCTGGTGAGTGGCACGGGGGTGCGCGAGGTTAACATCCGACTCCTTAGACTCATCGGTGAGAGATTAGAGTTGGAGCACATTTTCCTGGTCGGTTGTGATTGGAACTTCAGGCCTGGGGTCTGCAGACGTTCTGGTGGTGCTCTGTTCGTTCCTAGCCAAAACCGTGCCTCTCACCTGCCAGCCTGACTACGATCGACCACTTTATGGTTAGTTCGAGTTTGGTTGGGGCTTGCGAAATGTGGCACAGGCCGTCCTGGATTGGACCCGCAGGCGTCGCCGCCCTGTCGTTTTGAACCTCGGGGCTAACGTTTTCCGCTGCTACCAGTTTACTTCTCGAGCCCGCCAGCGCATGCCCACTTCTGTGCCAGTAGGACATTTACCGAAGCCGCAGGACTGGGCAGTGGCACGTGGAGTGGTCGAAGCAGCGGCCGAGGCGGCCCGCTCGGCACCTGTTGCACAGGCTTGGGAACTCCTTTCAGTGGCGCGGCGCTACTTCGCCACCGCCTGCGAGCCTGAGACCGAGGGCCCCACTTGTGATGAGGTGCCTTGCGAAGGGTTTCGTAGAGGCTTTTTGAAACCAAGGTGGGTCCCGATTTGTACTAGGCCGCGGGCCGTGGGGGCTCGAGCTGAGCAGCGCGGTTGATTCTGGCTGGGTCAGCATCTCGGTAAAACGATTGGGGCTTCTGAGAGGCTGAACAAGGCGGTGGCCCAAGCGGCCGGGGGCCCCGGCGGTTCTGTTGATCGCACCGCTCAGGAGCAGGTAAGCCGGGGTGCCCAGCTTCAGATGCAGCAGCACCTCGGCTTCCCGCGCTCAGGCGAGGGCGCTCGCATCCGCCTCGACGCCGCGTTGCGCCGGGCCCGCAGCCTTGCGAGCATGTCCCCCTCGTCGGGCATCCTTGGCGAGCGGCGCAGCGCCTGCCAGGGGCGTCCAACCTCGCGGGGGGCGACCTCCTCTCGGTCAAAAAGGCCGTCGATAAGCAACGGCATGATAGTTGGGATCAATCGCGGGGGCGAGTTTGTGAGGGTGGGGCTAAGGCGATGCATGGACTCACTGAGCTTAAAACGAAGTGGAATCCCACGGTCGTTCAGACCCACCCTGGGATCTTGTCGAGCAACCTCCAGCTCCCTTTCCGCCGCGAGGGTGGTGAACTGGCCAAGTTCTGGCATGCGTCTCATGCGCCCCCTGAGGTCTGCGTCCATGATCGCGTGCATTTGCCTTGGCCGTCGGCGGCCTAGGTTCGGAGTGCTTCGCGCAGTTTCACTCGCAGCACCTCCTAATCGCTCGATGGCTTCCACCCCGAACAGGTCAGCCTCGGATCGGACGCGGCCCCTTGGACTTTTGCAGCGCTGGTGCAAGCGATTGAGTCCCTGGGCTTCGTTCCCAAACAACTGATCTGGCTTCTGTTTCCGTTGTTGGAAAAACCAAAGGGCGGCCCCCGCACCATTTTGCCGCGCGCGGGTCCTGTCCGAGTTTGGGAGAGATTGAGGAAGCCCGTCACCCTGGATTTCAACTTTAGGTGCCCTCGCAGTTTCTGCTGGGATTTTGGCTTGGCCGATGCGCCGAAGACGCAGCGTGGCATGTGGCTGCGCAGGCCGAAGTGGCACGACATGGTAATGAGGTGGCGGGAGGGCCCATGTGGGGCGGGACCAAGTATTCTGAGTTTTTCGATGTTGGTACCCTCTGGCAGCGCGCTCTCGATCGCGGCGTAGATGGTGCAATCGTGGCGGCGGCGCGCGACTAATGGCGAGGCCCGAGGCTCCGCCGCCCGGGGGCTCAGTATTCGGCTTCGCCCTACTTCGCTACATCTGCCCCCCCCAGCGGGGGGCATATTTAATGATGTATGCGCGTGCATATAGCGTCGGGGCGTTCGATAGCTTCGCGGCGCATCATGGGGGCGTTTGGTCGCCGTCGCGCGCGGATGATGATGGCGTGGCGACGCGGGGGGCGGGGGCCGAGGTGGTTGCTGACACTGCTAAAGCGGCCGCTGCGTCATATGCCGTTTTTCGCGACGATTTTCGCGCGTCGGTCCATCCGGATAAAGTTTGCTTTTTTTTCCGGAAGCACAATTGCTTCGGCCAGGGCCATCGCGCGCCACTTCGGCGCCTTGGCGGGCCATGCCTCCAACGGCGCAGTCTCCCTCGGCGCTGATCTTGCGCCAGCACAGGGAAGGTCTGCTCGACGTGCTTCGCGGAAGCGCAAGGCGCGTTTCGCGATGTGCGCCGCCGACGCCAAGTGCTCCAGCGCCACCGTCGCAGACTCCCGCGGAAGAGTGGCCCAACCGGGGCAATCTGCGTTGCTGGCGTTTTGCCGGCGGTCGGTTTTGGATCGGCCGTGGGCGGGATGAGCAACCACGGGCTGCTCCAGGCGCGACGGGCCCTCCTGAGTTACAAGCCTTCTAGACACCGCGGGTGCTCTCTCCAGGCCAAGCTCGTTATCCTGGGGGGCCCTATGTGGCGCGCGGCTGCGGCCCCTGTGCTCGCGCGGGCGCGGGCTGCTTGGGCGGCCCTTGCCTGCCCTAGTGTTTCCACGTGCGCGATTGTGGAGCTGTGCATCATGTGGCGCAGCCTTCCGTTGGATGACCGGGCTTTTTGGCGAAATTCGAAGGGCCATATTCAGCGCGTGCACCTCTGTCTCTGCCGTTTGGGGTGGGTCTCCTTGTCGGCGCGGACCCATCAGGATGATGGGGGTGAAGAAATGCATGTGGGGTGCGCCCCCCCTTCCTAGCTGGCCCGCCTGCTCGACCTCGCCACGAGGCGTCATCGCGAGGGAGCTTCGGCGACCAATGTGCTAGGTTTTTGCGGGGCCCGCGCATACGTGAACCCGTGCAAGAAGGTCCTCGGTCCCGAGGGAATGTGACGTAGCCCTCGGGGGAAATATCTCGCTTTCACGACTTGTTGCAAGGGCGTGTGGGGACGGGTTCAAGACCGACGGGCGCCCACTCTGCGAGCAACCCGACGGTGTCCGACACCACCCGCGGCGGCGCGCGCACCCTGTGGCCGCTCAGGCGCGCGCCGAAGCTCTCGAGGGTGTGCCGCCAGACTGGCACAGCGAAGCTCTCTAGAGCGAGGACAGGCTATATTATTTGATGAAGCGAAGTGGGGCCATCCCGAAACCGCCCTCCCCTCCCCCCTCCACCGGCCCGAATCCGACACTGCATGTTGCTGCGGGCGCGGCTGTGCCTTTGGATTCCGTCGACTTGCGGGGGCTGAATGCGTGTGTCGATGGATCGGCGATGCGTCCCTGTATGAGGGAGTTTCTCGGGCCTTTTACTCCTGGATCTTTCTTGGGTCTGGGATTGCCGAGGTGGTTACTACCGCTCGGGGAGCTAGCTGCCTTGGATAGCCTCAGACGTCTCAAGTGTCTGGCTCAGTCCCTGGGGCGCACTTTGGTGCGTTGTCGCGTGCTCAGAGGGGACGTCGAGAAGACACTATGCGGAGCATGCATTTTGAGCCGGCGTCGCAAGCTATGTCGCGAATGTCCCCCAGCACAAGCCAACAGGTGCGCAGACGGTTCTTCGAACCCCTTCCTATCGGGACAGCTCGACGCTCGCGAGCAGCTCGCGCAGAGGAGTCTCGTTCTTGAGCTATGCCTCGGCCCAACCACAAACCCCCGGGAGGTCGGCCGCACTGCCGTGGCCAGCTCTGGCATCGTACCCATCACCAGCCTCGAACGTATCCCTATCCCTAAGATTGACACGCTAAAAAGAGATGACAATCTTAGGGATACACCCTCAGAAACTGAGGAACTCCCGAAGATCGCCATCGTGATGAGGCGATGCCCAACATAGGGAGAGGGATATGTTCCAGGCTGGTAAACCCGCGCAGGGGATGCTGGCGCTCCTGGCACGCGCGCCCAGGCCCGCGAGGCCGTGGCGGTGCCGCCCGCTCCAGGGGGGGTCCGCCCGTGCCACGGTCGAGCCCGGCGATGGGGAGGGAGCACCGCGGACGAACCGGCCCCTCCAAGGGGCGAGTCGCTGGGGTGCGAGGGGACCCTCCCGCAGATGGACAGAAGAGTGGAACCCTTGACACCACGCCCCCCCCCTCCCCCCCAATCTCAGAGTTGGCCTCGAGGATTCGGCAGCACCGGCGTGAGAGGACAGAAAACAGTGGAACCCCGAGGGCCTCCGAGAGGCCGAACCCAACTTTGAAATTGGGGGGGGGGGAATGCGGGGCCGAAGACGAAGGGGTTCCACTTTTTACCAGCCTCGAACGTATCCCTATCCCTAAGATTGACACGCCAAAAGGCGATGACAATCTTAGGGATTCGCCCTCAAAAAATAAGGGAATCCCTAAGATTGGCATCGTGATGAGGAGGTGCCCAGCATAGGGATAGGGATATGTTCCAGGCTGGTAAACTTTTTTGTCCCTTTACCGTCCCGTGACGGGAGCACGGGGCCCGCCGCGGCCGAGCGCGCTGCCGTGCTGCCAGCGAGTTTCACAGGTCGGCTCGCTCGCCTGTGGGGAGTGCTCACCCCACGGCGACAGAGCAGCAGGTTTGCGTCGGCTTGTTTTGCTGCCCATCGGTACAACGCGCCGACCTTTTCGATCCGGAGGCTGACGAGGAGGCCGCGAGGTTCCTCTTCTCAGCTCCCCCAGCTGCCGCCACGTCGGCGGCGTCAGCTCCCTCCGCAATGCCTCAGGGAGCTGTTGCTTCGCAGAGTGTCCGAGCCGCCCTCGCCCATGAAGAGGCCGAGGAGCCGCTCATCGCAGCGGTCGTTGATGGCTCGGGCGACTCTGATTGATTCCCTTGTGCACCTCGGTCATGCCCTCATGAGACAGATGACAACAAATCCTCCGCCTCCTGCTTCCCCTCCGCCTCTCGTCCCTGCCTGCTTGCCTCCCCTCCAGCCAAAGGGCGGCGCTGCCTTGCCAGCCCCAACCGGCATCATCGACGCGGTGCCGTTGAGGAGGCCTCTCGAGAAGCCGGGCGCGGGCTCCACAGGTGGCACTGGCTTGAAGGGCCTGGACGTGTGACACCGCGTGACGGCGAGACGCTGCCTTCTCTGTATTTCTTAGGCTCTATCTCTCGTCCCTCGCTGTCCTCGTCGTGATGATTATCGTCCCTCTCCTCCTCGTTCTCGTTCTCCTCCTCACCATCATCATCCTTATCCTCATTCTCCTCGTCCTCGTCGTCGTCAGGATTCTCGTCCACTCGCTCCTCTCCGTCTCGCTCGATCTCCTGCTCGTCCCCCTCGTCGTCGTCGTCCTCCTCCTCGTCTTCATTCGTCTGCTCTGTATACATCCCCTCGACCTCTTGGCCATCGTCACCCTCATCTTCGGCATCGTTTTATTTTCATCCTCGTCATCCTCGATATTCGCCTCACTCGTCTAATTGCTCCTCATGCTCATCCTCCTCGTCCTCTTCGTTGTCGTCCTTTTCGTGATCGTCTATGTTTTCCCCATCATCGTCCTGGTAGCTATACGTTATCCTCGTCCTCCTGTGCCTGCTCCTGGGGCTCCTTCCGTTCTCATCCGTATACTGCTCTGCCTCCCCTCTGCTCGTCTTCCTCTTCCGCACCCGCCCTGCTCCTCGTGTTTGTCGTCTTGGCAAGTGCTCCCTTTCCTGCCAGCCTGGCTTGCCCAGAAGGCTCCAACAATCGTGCACCCAGCAGCTACCCAAGCTGCCTCAACCGTGTACCTGGGTGCCTGTCAGTGAGCACTGGAGCGCGTACATGCTGCCAGCTCACTAGGGCCTAGGGGAGGGCCAGTCGAGCCATCGGCGGCTTTCCTTCCCCCCCTCTTCCCACTCCTCGCCATCCTCGCCCTGGTCTGGAGGGCCATCCATGTCGCAATCGGCCCTCCTCCGAAGGGCACACCCGCTCGACGCCCGCAGGGGCACGGCATCGCGGTGTGACAGCAGTCCGCGCTCGCGGGTGCGAGGCCGAGTCTCAGGGTGCGGTCGGCGGCCCTCGTGTTGCCAGCGCTCCACCCCCAGGGTGCGAGTCCTGAGTCACAGGTCAGTGCCCCAGAAGCCAGGACATCGCAGGCCAGGACTACAGTCAACAAGGGCGCCATCGAGGGCGCGAAGTTATTCGCGCTTCGCGCTTCGGCTCCGAGTCTTCCACATCCTCCTCTTCTCCCATTAGGGGGCGGCGCGAGAGCGCGAAGTTATTCGCACTTCGCGCTTCGCGCAGCGCGAAGCACGAAGCTGGGAGCCCTTGTTGCATCCTTCCCCGTCGGCCCATCCTTGTCCGCTTTCGCTGGCTGCGCCCCTCTCGCAGAGTGCTGACATGGCCTTCCAAGGCCCTCGCATGCCTCTCGCGCGCCCTTGCTGCACGGGTTGACAGTAACCTGGGCACGCCCGCTCCGTGCTTCAGAGCTGCGGATGTTGCTAGAGGTGGTCCTCGCCTGAGGCGGCGCCTGGCGTTCCACGGAGGCCTCGCGAGGGCCTGCAGAGCCTCCGCGAGGCCCAGAGTCTACAGACGTCTCGGGACGGTTCGGAAGGCTGGGGCCACCTCGTGCCTGGAACCTCTGCGGGGAAAACCAGACCCCCTCGAGTCCTGAACAAATCGCGACGAGAGTTTCGCTCTTTTCGGCCCCTGGGAGCCCTCGCCGGGCCTCGGAACAGCGAAAAAACGACTCGGGTTGAAAAACCCGTTCCGGGGAATGGGTCCAGACCTTTGGGGGTCGCGTCATGAAACAATCATGGCGTCGGGGGCCTGGGAACGCCGCTGCCCCTCGCCGAAAGGGCTGCGTTGCCCGAAGTGCCCGTTGCACCACAGCAGGCACTGGAAACGCCCCTGCCGCCACCCGCCCTGGACCACCTCTGCCAACCCCCGAGATCTCCGCGCTGGGGTGCGATCTTCCGCGCCACAGGACGCGGCCTCTGGTGGCGCTGGCAGGCTGCTCCTGGGGGGGGGAGCGGGACATCTCTGAGCAGCAGGGTGCAGCCTCTCTCGTGGCCGCTGGCCTTCGTGCTGCGCCTCTGTCGCTCCCTGGCGTTGGGTGCTGCTGGGCTCGCCAGGACGCGCCGACAAGCCATCAGCCCGACCGGGCGGCCCGCCGCAGTAGCTCTTCTCGAAGGTCGCGCCCGGGCAATCCCAGCCAGCCCTGCCCGCCTGGCTGGGCGGGCCAACCCGGCCAACGCAGCCGGCCCAGCCAGCCACGCTGGCCCGGCCAGCCCGGCCAGCCTGACCTGCCGGGCGAGCCTGGCCAGCCTGGCCAGCCCAGTGATCTGGTGATCTTGGGGGCCTCCTGATGCTCGTGTTCCCCGGCCAGCCCCGCCATCCGAGCCGGGTCTACCGATCTGCCCAGCCGTGCCAGCCCAGTCTTCCTTGAGGTGGCGCCAGAAGCCTTTCTGTGCCCCTCCGCAGACAGCCTGGACAGCCCAGCCGACACCATCACAATGCCAGCTGCCAACAGTCGTGCCGTGTACGCCAGCTGCTTCCAGTCTCATAATGAGGGCTTCTCCGGGATGGTTCGTCCTCCGCCTCATACTTCACATTATCCTCACACCTCTCCCCGTCCTCCTTCTACGTCCTCGTCCTCCTCGTCCTATTCTCTTCTTCCTCCTCCTCCTCCTCCTCATCCTCATCCTCATCCTCATCCTCATCCTCGCTGCCACCTGTGTTTTTCTCTGTCCGATCTGCTGCCACCGTGGGTCCAACCTGGGTAACGATGCAGCCTTCATTCGGCAATTCCTCCTCCTCACTTTCCTTTTCCGCAGTATCATATTGTCGTCAGGTTGTCGTCATATTGCCCTCCTTCCTCTTTGATCTCTTCTCCGCCCTCCTCCTGCACCCTTCTTTCTTCGCTCTCCTCTCTCGTATCTCGTCACAACTCTCCTCCTCCATGCCCCTCCTCTATCCCTCCTTCTCCTCTTATTCGCCCCTCTTGCAAACCCCTCCTCTTTCTCCTTCTCCTTCTCGTCCCCATTCTTCCTCATCCGCCTTCCCCTTCATCCTCCCACCAAGCCCTCATCATCTTCGCTTTCCGATGCTTCTCGTCCTCTCGTCTTCCTCCTTCTCCTCCTCCGCCTCCTTTTCCTCCTCCTTCGTTTCGTTTCCGTGCTCGTCCTTCTAGTCCTCGTATTCGTTATGCTCCATCCTTCCTCGTCGTTGTCTCTCCTCCCCCTCTCCGCCGCCGCCCACCTCCCCCCTCTCCCGTCTCACGCGCCCCGCCTCCCTCCCAATTCCTCGCCCTCCTCCCCCCCACACCTTCCTGTTCATTCCCCCGCTCGCGTTCATCGCCCGCCTCCCCGTCTATATGACTTCTTCTCCTTCCCCCCTCACCCTCCCACACCTCATCTTGTTTCGTTTCAAGGTTGGGCGTCGTGGTCATGCGTGCCACCTTGCACGCGCACCGCTTTTGGATGGCTGCCACTCCTTCCGCGGCTTTGTAACGGCAGCGTCAAGCGTTGTCTCGTTACGCCTGCAACCGATGTGCAGCGCACGAGCTGGTTCGGGGATTGTTGCAGATGAGGGGTGGCGGCCTCCGCGTTGTTCGCGGCGGCGACCGAAGTTCTCGCAGCGTCTGCCGCGGCTGAGAGTCCCATGAGCTGATCCCAGCACAGCAGATGATGACTGTCAGCTTTTTCCCCCTTCCGTCCTTCTTCTCTCCTTTTCCCTCCTCCCCCTTGTCAATTACGTCCTTCCTCCCTGATCCCTACTCCTTCATCCCTCTTCCCTATTCCCTCATCCTTCCACGCGTCCTCATCCCTCCTCCTCCTCCTCCTCCTCCTCCTCCTCCTCCTCCTCCTCCTCCTCCTCCTCCCTCCCCTCCCCCTCCTCCTCCCCCTCCTCCTCCCGCTCGTCCTCTGGGGCGCCTGGCCCTCGACGGCCGCCCTGCTGGCCACCCCTCTCGCTCGCTCCCCGCCACCCCGCCACCCCGTCCAGCAGGCCGCCGGGTGGCGCAGGGCGCGCGCCGTCCCCCTTGGGGGCGTGCCCTCCCGGCAGGGGAGGCGGCCTTCGGGGCGCGCGGTGCCTGCGACGGCCGCCGCGGCGCGCCCCGCGGACCCCTGCGGCCTCGAGCCGCGCCGCCGCCCGCGCGGGCGGGCGCGCGGGCGCGCTGGGCCGGCCCCGCCCCCCCCTGCGCTTCGGGCCCCCCCCGAGGGCGCCCCCGAGGGCGCCCTCGGGGGCGCGGAGTTCTTCGCGCTTCGCGGCTCGGCTCCGAGTCCTCCTCGTCCTCCTCGTCTCCCCTGGGGGGCGGCGCGAGGGCGCTTCTTCCCGGAAGGACGAAGACAACTTCCCGGAGGTGGATTTTAGCAGCCACGGATTTGGCAGCCCTTGCCCGGCTTCCGAGTCCCAGGAGGCAGTTGATGTGGACATCTTGGGCAGTGGATGTGGCCCGTCATTTTGGGCCCCGCGGGGCCCGCACATGTCCATGCCTGCTGCCTCCTGGGGTCTTCGGATGTCGGTTCCCCAAGCTGTGAACTTGCATAGGCTTCGGCCTGTGAAGTGCGCCAGGCCGTCTCGGCTTTGGCTCGGGGCGGGCGGGGTCCTACCCTCCCCTTTTGCTATCTGCCCCTTTCGTTCGCCCAGACTGGCGAGCCCGGTCGACTTTTCCGCGTGAGGTGGGTTCCACTGCATCGGGGGGGCGCCAATTGCAGGCCGTTCGATGGACTTCCAGAATCCACTCTACTTCAACAAGCGCCTTTCTGCTTCAAGAGTCGATCGCTCCCTACTCTGTTTGACTATCGATTGGGCGGGCCTGAACCGAGTCTACTTGAAACTCCTCTTGTACCTCATGCACCTACCAACTTCGCACGAACGACAGTACAATCGTATACGTGTAGATGCAGATATACACGACAGGCTGCATTGGCGCGTCGCGCCATGCACGTTGGTCATTGTAAGTTCCGCACGGGCAGAGTGAGAGAGGCGTAGGGATCGAGAGCGAGAGAGGGAGAGATGGAGCCATATAGTATGTAGTAGTTCCGTGCCTCCATTTTCGCGTTGTTTTTCTCTTTCTTATCTTCTTCCTCCCTCCCGTTATTCCTCCTTCCTTTTCGTCTTCCTCGTCCTCTCCATTCTCCTGGAGGAGGTTCTTGGGGGCTCATCGAAGGCATCTTGGGGTTTGTTGGGGGCCTCTGGAGGCCTCCTGGAAGTCTTTTGGAGGCCTCTGGGGGCTTCTTGGGGCCATCATGCTGCCCTAGTGTTTTGGTGTGTGTGTGTGTGTGTGTGTGTATTGGGGCCATCTTGGGCCGCCTTGAGGTTTTCTTGGGGCCACCTTGGGGCTTGTTGAGCTGTATTCGGGCTCTCTTGGGCCGTCTTGACGCTTTTTTGGCCAGTCTTGGGGCGGTCTTGGAGGCCTCTCCGGCGGTCTCGAACGCCTGGAGGACCGAAGAACCTAGCGTGTGAGCGTGGTACAATAACGGAAACTGCACATGGTTGTTCTTGTTGCGTTTCGAGGGCCTGCCGGGGTTGCTTTTTTGGCCGTCTTCGGGCGTCTGTTGCGTGTGTGGGGCCTCTTGGGCTCCCGTGGGGCTGTTTGGGCGCCCGCCTGACTGCTTGGGGCTCGCTGGCAAGGCCTGGCTGGGACGTTCAGGCAGAATTCCCAGGAGACCCTCTGCAGGGATTTCCAGAAGGCCCCAGAGACCAGGGATCTGGGGGATCCCGTTTCGGGGGTCGCAGGGTTTCGGATACATGCGTATTTTATTTGTCTATATATATATATATAGTTATGCGTAGGTCTGAGAGGGAGTATGCCTGTATGCCTCGGAGGTCTTTGCCAGGCCAACCACAGCCCTGGAGCGGGTGTATACGATCCCGTGGCCAAGTCACAGGAGGGCGTGTGCGCTGTTGGCGCGCCCAGGCTCGGCGTCGTAGCATCATTGGCGTCGCCCCGTTGTGCATTCCTCTCACTTTCTCCCGGGGAAGATCCCGTGGGGAGCACGCTCTCGGTCCGAGGCCTCGTCTGTGCTGCCGCGGACTCTCTGGAAAAGAGGCAGTGCTTCCCTTCACCTTTCTCCTCGTGCTCCTCTTCTGCTCCCGTAGGGCCCCCCGCTTTTTCTCTCTCCCTCTTCCTCGTTCCCCTTGTGATCACTTGTCTCCTCTTCTCCCGCTCTCTCCCTCCCCCTATCCCATCAACCCCTTCACCCCCATCTTATGTGTCTTCCCACAGTTGCTGCTCCTCTCTTTCTTTCTCTGTGTCTCTCTTTCTTATTGCTTGTTTGGTTGTGTGTGTGTGTCTCTCTCTCTCTCTATCTCCCTCTCTGTTCCTCTTTCTCTATGTATATATATAGGTACCTATATATTCTCTTTGTATGTATGTATGTGTTTGTGTCTCTCGCTCTCTCTCTCTCTCTCTCTCTCTCCCTCTCTATCTCTCTCTCTCTCTCTCTCCCTTTCTGTCCCTTCTCTCCTCTGAGCCCCCCTCGCTCTGTCGAAACCTCTAGGGGCGCTCCTGCATTTCTCAGCGCTGCTGCTTTCTTCCATGAGCTGCTCCATTCCCGTCGACTTCTCTCCCATTCATTATTTACGCGCCGCCTGAGTGCACGCGCGTCCTTGCCAGACCGCCCCTTGGGCGTTATTTTTTCTCTTTTTTTCTCACTTGTATCATTATTCGTCTTCTTCTTCATCTGCATCATTATCAGCATCATCAGCATCATCATTAGCGGTATCAACATATTCATCAGCATCAGTATCAGCATCATCACCATCATCAGAAGCATCATCAGCAGCAACTTCATCGTCACCATCCTCATATCAGCAGCATCCGCATAATCATCATCATCAGCATCATCGTAAGCATCATAATTTCCATCATGATCGCCATCACCACCATCATCATCATCATCATCATCATCATCATCATCATCATCATGATCATCATCATCAGCATCATCGTCATCATCATCGTCGTCATCATCGTCATCATCATCATCGTCATTCCGTAGCCATTTTGGCTCAAGCCACATACTAGGCCAGGGCCTCTGACGCGCCCTGCCATCCGCATGCAATGGTGTGCGCCGCCGCCGCAGCGTGGTGCCTGCTAACCAGTTTCCTCATCCACATGGTGCATTGCCGCTCGTATGCCAAGCTGGGACTCCGCCGTGTCCGAGCTCGCGAGCGTGGATATCTTCGAGCTCTACCCTCCGGTATGCGCCACGTGGCCGTCCCCGAGCACCTTGCGATGCACGCCGAGGACATCGCGAAGGGCATCACGGCTCACTCCATTGTGCAAACCGTCTCCGGAGTGCGCTCCCACAGCCTACGCACAGCGATCGGCCAGGCCGCCCCCTTCTTCGAAACCAACGCGCTGTCGCAGCTGAGAGCCATCAACACGCGGGCTGGCCGCGCCAAACACCGTGTTCCCGTCGTTCCTCCTGGTTCTGCTGCTGAGCCACACTCGCAGGCAGCTGACAAACGTGTGCTTCAACTCGACGTGCTACTTTCTCGTCATGAGCCGTGGCCAGAAGTTGGTCTCACACAAGCCCTGGCCTACGGGATGTTTGCGCTGTCGCACGCGATGTAGATCATCTCGCAGTACATGCTCGTGCCGTCCTTCGCTCCGCTGGGTCTGTGTGATGGTGGTGATTTCCCGCCAGTTGCCAAATTCATTGCCAATCTCCATGAGCCTGTCTACACCGACTTTGAGTCCGGGATGGACAAGTTCGTGGCCGAAGGCGCTGGCACAGGTTCTGCGCCTGCATCCTCACGTCCGCCGTGCGTGGAAGCATTCTCTCCTTCGTTTTTTTTCATTTTCCACGTGGCGCCATCTTCTTCACGAAGATTCCGTACGTCCTGCTGCCGCTGCTGGTGGCGTCCGCGATCACCTTCCTGACAGTGGTCTACTTATTCGCCATGAGGCCGCTGCACGCGGCGCTCCAACGAAGCCCGATGGTGCTCAAACCCATCCCGCTGCCGCTGCAGGTGGCGTTTCTCTGCATGCTGAACAACCTACCGTTGCTGACTGTGGTCCTCGCGTCCGCTTTGCCGCCGCTGCGGGTGGCGCTCCGACCAAACCTGACGGTGCTCAAGGTCGTCCCGCTGCCGCTGCACGCTGCGCTCCACCGCAACCTCCCGCTGCTGTCGATGCTGATGGCGTTCCGCACGGACTGCCTGTCCCAATTGCTGGCGGTCACCGCGGAGTTGTGAAGCCATCCCTCGTGGCTCGGTCGCTGAGCCGCTACGTCGCCATGCGCCGCCTCGGTGCCAAGAATAAGGCGCGATCGATCCTGACCAAGACGTTCTGCGAGCGGTGGCGAGCCATGCGGCGCGCCGTCCTGTTGGACAACAGGCTGTTCTACCGCTGCTTCGACGCGTGGGCAGACGCTGCCGCTGGTGGCGAACGACCCCGACCCGAAGACCGCATCTTGCATGACGCTGCCGCGGGTGGCGAACGACTCCGACCAGAGGATCACGTCCCGCATGCTGCTGCCGCAGGAGGTGCCCAACCCCTTCGCGCTGAACGAGTCCCGCATTACGCTGACACTGGCGGCGAGAGCTTACATCACAACCTGCACGATGCCGCTGCTTATGGCGCACAACCCCATCATCCCGAACGTGGTCCGCTTCTCGCTGACGATGGTGGCGAACGTCTTCGTCCCGAAGACCACGTCCTGCATCATGCTGCCGACAGTGGCGAACTTCCCCCTCAGGCTGAACGAGGTCCGCCTTCCGCTGCCGTTGGTGGCGGACGACCCCGTCTCGATGATCACGTTCTGCATGTCGCTGCCACTGGTGGCGAACAATCTCCCTCCGATGAACGAGATTCGCATGACGCTGCCGCTGGTGGCGAACGACCCTGTCGTGAAGATCCCGACTTGCATGATGCTGAGGACATTGGTGTCGAGGCGCGCCGTGTGCATCTGCATGATGATACTCGTCCCGGCATCTACCCGACTTGCTTCGACGCGCGTGCGCTGGAGATGAGACTCCTTTTCTGAGGCCATTCCCGAGACCAGCCCTGGCGGTGTAGCTAGCCTTGTGCGCCCAGTCTTGCGTATCCCACTCCGCTCCTCCCCGTCTTGGTTGTCCCCGCTTCGCCCCCCTCCTGTTTCGCCGATCTGGCGTCCATCCGTATCGCTTTTGAAGCCTGCGAGCGCACACTCCTCGGCATTTGGCCGTAGCGAGTAGCGCAACTACAAAGTTACAATACAAGTAGACGAGTGTAGCGCAGCTGGCTGGGAGCAAGAGGGAACTTCTTGCCCTCCTCTCGCTTCTTGTCCGCTTGCCTTCGTCTCTTCTCTTTCCGAGTATGTTCGATCATCATCATCATCATCATCATCAGCATTCTCAGCATCATCAGCATCATCATCATTACTACTATCCGTAAGGGCTTCGCCCCAAGCCGCCGGCCCCCTCTCTCGGACAATGGGCGATGCAAGAGCTAAATCATGAGACCTCGGCGCCGTCGTGAAACAGCATCGGCAAGACAAATTCAGATTCTGATGATATTGCTGAACTCGGTGTTGCATTTTGAACGATGAGGATACGCGACTATATCATAACTTACAAGGGTGTATGGCTTCGGGGTCGAAGATCTGGAGTGATTTGCGCAGGTGTATGGTTTCGGCGACGTGATTATCGTGTAATTTCGTGGGTCTATGGTTTCGAATACGCGAATATAATGTAATCTGCGAGGATTCAGGGTTTCGGGGACGCGACTATTTAGAAATTTTCAATGGTTGACTGCATCGGGAACGCAAGCGTGGCGTAAATTACGATTGCTTATGGCTTCGGAGACGCGAACATCGCATAACTTACGACGTGTATTTTCTCGGGGACGCGATCCGCGGGTGATTTACGAGCGTTTGTGGCCTCGGGGGTTCAAGTCTTGTATACTTTATCATGCTTTATGGTTTCGGGGACACGAATCTGGCGTATATTGTAAGGTTGTATTGCTTCGGGGACGCGAGTATGTTGTAATCCGCAAGGGTTTATGGCTTCGGGGACACGACTATTGCGTGCTTTGCGAGGGTCTATGGCCGCGGAGGCTCGAGTTTCGTATTTTTGCGTGTCCCACGCGCTCCCCAGAAATTCTGAGCACGCGATCTGGGCGTGGTGAAAATAGCGGTTTGCGGCTCCTCCCCCTCGCGCGGTCCATCAACAATGAACAGTGAGCAGCAACACGCAGAATTGTCACAGTGGAAATTGGAAACTGGAATTGGCGCAAGGAACAGCAAACCCTGGTCATACAGCCTGGTGGCCCCGCAAGGGGGCGGGCGGATTATTACCATCATCACCAAAATCAGCATCATTATCCCCGACATAATCACCAGCATCATCATCAGAAACATCATCATCATCATCATCATCATCATCATCATCATCATCATCACTATCACCGTCACCATCACCATCACCATCACCATCCCCATCATCGTCATTAACATTATCACAACAACACCATCACCATCACTATCACCATTACTACTATCACCATCATCATCAAAACCGTCATCATCATCATCATCATCATCGTCGTCGTCGTCGTCATCATCATCCTTAGCACCACCACCATCATTATCCTCCCCATTATCAGCAGCATCTTCACCATCAACCTCCCACCCTTCCCTCGCCCAGCCTTTGCTTCTCCGTGCCTCACCTCCCCTTTCTTTCCCTGCTCTCGCACTCCTCATCTTCCTCTCTCTTCCTTCCTTCCTCCCCCCTTCTCCTTGGCCCGCGTCGTTCTTCTCGTCTCTCTCCCCCACCGTTCCTACGCCCCCCCCGCTCCCTCTCTGCCTCCGTTGCCCCCGTCATCCCCCGGAGGCCGTGGCCATGGAGGTGGAGGATCCGCGCCGAGTGAGCGGGCGGGGCACGCCCGAGATTGGCCCTCTGCGGGGGTGGGGCGCCCCCTGGCAGTGGGGGGGGCACGAGTGCTCGGCGGCCTTGATTCGGTGGGGGGATGGAGGAGCGAGGATTTTGCTTGGAGGAGGAGCGGAGATCGAGCGAGGAGGAGGAGGAGGAGGAGAGGAGCGAGGATTTGTGATGTGTGTGT